AACTCCCACCGTTCCAGCCATAGAGGTGCCAAGGCTGAGCCCAGATGTGTTCATTAAGATGAACAGATCCCTTAATGAAACGCAGGCATCCATTTCTTATTCTGTTCAGGACTGGTGCTACAGACTGGTCTGGGGCCACAGTCCGGAGCAGTTTTTCTTCTTTGTGTCTGGAGGAGCAGGCTGCGGTAAGTCGCACGTCATAAAATGCATACACGAAGAGGCCACAAAGATCCTGAGACAGCTTCCGCGATTCCAAAACCAGGGGGACATGTCCCTGCCTGCAGTGTTACTGACGGCATTTACAGACACGAAGGAGCAGGATATGTCCTTGCTCTCTCAGGCAGTCTGCAACGCGCACAACTGTCCTGTGGACGTTCTCCACATTTTTACTACCAACAAACAGGTCAGTAGCTACAATTCGGCCTGGGTTGCTGCCCTGGTAGCATTGACATCAAGGCAGAGGATTATAAGAAATGTAATGATATCTGCCGGTTCGTTGAAGGGCAAGAAGAGGGATTTACTGGACAACATCCAGGCAGCAACGGGTGTTCGTGTCATGATTGTTAGAAATCTGGACGTGGAGGACGGCATGGTAAAGGGGACCTTATAGTCATAGCGCATATAGTTATGGATGAGAGCGTGTTTCCCAACTCGGTCAAGCTAATCGGGCTCGGGCTTGACAATCCCATCGCGGGTCAGAGGTTCCGCAGAACAATTTTGGGGCCTTCGGACGATCTATCGTAGGTCGAACGGTGCGAGGAGAGCATGAGCGTGAAGGGCGTTAGTAGAAGGCAGTTTCCCATCAAACTGGCCTTTGCCTGCACGGCCCATAAGGTCCAAGGCATGATGATGCAGGCAGCTGTGGTTAGCTTAGAGCGCATTTCTGAACCGGGCATGGCCTGCGTCACCCTGAGCCGCACAACGTCACTGCAGGGGCTCTACATCACACACTTTAATGAAGACAAGATCTACGGCGATCCTCATTTGACAGCTGCACTGGAAGACTCGCTTCCTTTGAGCACATCAGACCGCTGCTTCACCGTTTCAAACACGTAGCACGCTGACCATCGTCCACCACAACACCCAGGAGCTGCCCACTCACATTGCGTCTGTAAAACGTCATCACAGGTTTCCGCTGGTCGATGTCTTGTGCCTGACGGAAACTCACCTGTCTTCGGTCGCCCCTCTTTTTCACTTTGAGGGCTACACCCTGTTCAATAGGAACAGGAAACACCTCCTACAACACTTACACCCACATGGCAGCCCAAGATGGCGGTGGAGTCGTGGTTTACTGTAGGCCCTACCTTCAAGCTGAGCCACGTAGGTTTTTACAGTGTTACCGATTTGGAAGTTGTAGTCGTGAAAGTCCAGGATCCTGTTACCGCACTTATTTCTACCCCAGATGAGGCATTTGTTAGACTCTTTAGATTACATGAACCTCCAGCCTGTAGTCATCTGTGGGGATTTTAATGAGGTCCTGCTCTCCACAGATAAAAAAGCCATACACGATCTGCTTCACTCCAGGGGGTACACACAACTGATTACACTAGGAACCACACACAACACCCTTTTAGACCACATTTACATTTCACATCCAGCCTTCTGCTTCCAATCGGGCGTCCTGCAGACATACCACAGCTACCACAGGCCAGTTTATTGTGTTCTGAGCGGCTGTTGAACGGTGGTAGAGGTAGAATTGCAAAACAATCAAATCTGGACTGATCCTCCTTCTCACAACGCACTTCCTGGCACCACCACAGAACACCGTACAATAAATATTGTTAAAGGTCTCTGGTCTCCTGAGTGACCCTATGAATGTGGGTCAAGATGCTTCTTCGTTCCGTTACACCTTGGCCAAACCCCCCCTCTAGCCCCCAACCCACTATAGAGAGAATACTGTACATTATTCTTACCATAATTTAAAAAAGAAAAGTCTTTATATTTGTGCCTCATTCAGGACATTTATTGTGTTTCTTTTGGTGTTAAAATATTCTAAACTTTATGAAATGTTTAACTTTTAAAAAAAAATTTGAATGAAGAATCCCTCCAATCCTTCAAAACGTTTTACCACTTTCAAAGTTTATTACTTCAGCATAACTTCAGACACCATTCAACTTTAACAATGGTTTCAAAGTGTTGAGCTATTTTTATGTGTGTCAGCTCCTTATAGTATTTTATGCATTTTTTTAATAATCAAAATTCTTCCATCAGTCATTTCTGAGTGTGGAATGGACTCCTACGGTACGGAACTTTGGCACAAAGTGCCGCTTCCAACTGACTGGAGAAATGCAGGGAAATCCTTTAGATTTTTTTTTTTAAACTGCAACTGTGTCCACAATCTTTAACTCACTGAAATTATTTTTACAGAAAAATAGAGGAAAACTTATCCTCTTTCTCACGTTGTAACTTTCACAGCATTCAGGGTTTAATTTTTTAAACCAGAGCCTTCAAAGTCAAGAGATACCTTCCA